TTACAAACATCACTAAAAGCAAACTTAGCACCAGAGTTGGTGAGCTTAGTACCCCTTCATAAGAATCTTCTTAAAAGCTGTTCAACCCTATCAAGAAGCTGTTGGAGAAGTTTCAGATGAGATGCCCAGTGAAGTTATAAGCTAAACAACACAGAATGGATCCATTAAAGTCTTCCTGCATAAGACAAGCTCCTATTGGTCCAGCTATTGATCATGGCTTCAGTTTTTTCAAGTAGAGAATAACAATGGGTAGCTTTAAGCCTAGAAGAAATTAGAGGAAAATCCAAATATTTGATAGGCAATTCACCTTCCTTGAACCCAAAAACAGCCTTTATAGAGATCCTCACCTCTTCACTAACAGAAGACAAGAATATGTTACTCTTCCTGGGTTTAGCTTGAAGACCAGTCGTATGCTGAAAGAAGTCCTAGCCTTCCTTGAGTAATCTAGTAGACCTATTATCCCCAAAACAAGAAAAGAAGAGGTCATTTGCAAAGATGAGCTGGGTTAGATTAATCTTTTTGTATCTCCAGTGGAATTTAAAGCTTTGACTAGTAGAGATTAGGTGATGGTTGATGAGAGTGATAACTTCCATGGCCATAATAAAGATTAATTGAAAACTTGGGAGTAGAAATACAGATTTTTATCTACGATCTAAGGATAAGGGGAAATTTGAAGGCATCCAAGATATCAAGTAAGCATTCCCACTTCAAAGTGTCAAAAAGCCTTCATGAGGTCAACCTTAACTGCACATCTGGGAGTCGCATTACTCTTATGGTAGTCTCTCAGAATTTCTTGTTTGAGAAGGATATTGTCTCCAATTTTACTTCCAGGAATAAAGGCTGCTAGATTGTTTCTGATTATATTTCGCAAGACACCCTTGATCCTATTTGCAATGATCTTAGCAATTGCTTTATAAAAAAACATTGAACATGACATGGATCTGAAGTCCCTTACAATTGTGGGATTAGGGAACTTTAAGACAAGAACAATTTTAGTGTTGAATTCCTTAAGGAGGCTCCTGGAGGTGAAGAATTCCATCACAGCTCTTGTGATATCTTGGTCTATGATAGACCAATATTTCTTTTAGAAACACCCATTGAAACCATCAGGACTTGGACATCTGTTATCATTGAAAGAAAAGAAAACATCTTTAACTTTATCAGGAGTGATATCTCTAGATAGAAAATAGGATTGCTCGGATGAAATCTTGTTTTGAATAACCTTGCTCAACAAGATCTTCCTATCAATAGAATCTATATTTGGGAAAGAACCCCCAAGAAGTTGAGTATAGTAATCAACCAATTCTTTTTTCACCTCAGATTCATTACAAGCGAGAGACCCATCAACTATTCTTAGAGAAATGACCTTTTTTCCTGTTTCTTCTATTGGTAAGAGTCTTGAAAAAATAGACAGTGTTATTACCACCCTCTTGAAACCACTTGACTCTAGATTTTTGTCTATAGAAGCTTTCCTTTTTTAGAGCAGCTTTAGTGAACTTGAGCATATGAAGTTCCTCTTGCTTCTTGAGTATGGTGTTAAGGAGGTCAAGAACAAGCTAGTTTTGGTAAGTTACAAGCTCCTCTCTGGCCTCGTTAATTCTCATAGAATCACCCATAGACTCTTTCCCCAATAACTTTAAAGTGACTTTGAACTTTTTTAATTTGGTGGACACTTGGAATTGAAGAGTACCTTGGACCTCTTCTCTCTGAACTTGAGCAATAATGTGAGAAAATTCTCCCTTTCAATTTGGAAATTGAAAATTTTAAATGGAAATTTGCCTCTAACTTTATGGGGACCAATCCTAACTAAAATTGTGCTATGATCAGATATTCCTAGAGGCAAAAATTCTGCTACGAAAAATTGAAATTTTTGGAGCTAGTGTTCATTGACAAGTGCTCTGTCCAGTTTCCTCCAAACAATGTCAAACTCATGTCTATTGTTGCACCAAGTGAAAGAATGTCCAGAATATCGTAGGCCTGCAAGAGTAGCATTTTGCAAGCATTCATCAAATTCCTTAATGGCAATCGTTCTTTTCCCAGAACACCCCATAGATTCATGAACTCCTCTAACAATATTGAAGTCTCCCAAGACAAGCCAAGGAGTTGGGGCAGCAATGAAAACAAAATACCCGAGGTCACCCTAAAGTTTCTTTCTATCTTGGTCATCGTTGGCCCCACACACAAAAGCCACATAGAAAGTTAAAATACCATCAATGGACTGTACATTGCATAAAATAAGTTGATCAGTTTCTGTAATTTTATTAACCTTCAAAACATTTGGGTTCCACTGAACCCAAATTCTACAAAAGGGTGACTACTATAGTTAGAGGTTGAATCTCATTGCCTAAAAATATTTCTCAAAATAAAGTCTTTATTTACAGGTCTCACTTTAGTTTCCACAATGCCAATCATATCAAGGTGTTATTGACAATGGTTTTTCTTATTTCTTGTTTAATGGGGTCATTTAAACCCCTAATGTTCCAACAAGATATGTTTAACATGGAGAAATAGAGATAGAAGGGCAAAGGGGAACCTCCTTAGTTCCACCCTTAACTTTTTTGCTCTTAACTTTCTTCTTCTTGACTTTCCTAATTAGCTTTCTAGGGGATTTGAGTATCTTATAGGACCCCTCTTGCTTTTCAACAACTTTAGGATAAAGCTCCACTACAAGTTGTCCTCCTTTAAGATCAAGACATCCAAATTTGTTTGGGGATATGGGGGCAAGTGGAAGGCACACATCAGGTACATTATCAATAACATAGATAGAAGTTACCATATTTTCCCGTAGAGGAAGACCCTCTGAATGCATAAGGTCCACAAAGCTAGACCCTGGATTGTTGATAGAAGAGTTTACCAGAGGCTGGTTTGCAGTCATAGGAGGGTCAACTATTACCGTGGAAGTAATGGTTTTCCTTTTTTTTTTTTTTTTATGATATTTGTTTGCTGCTTCCCACTGTTGGATTGTGTTTGTGTTGTACAAGATGTAGTATTATGCACAAAAATCTTACAATGGAGATACTACTTAGGCTTCCATTGGTACTCAACTTTGATTTCAAGCAACTCACTAGAGTCACTAGAGCGTACAACCAAATTAAAGGAATTAACTAGTTGCTCAGCTGCATCAACTTTCATACAAACATGAGTGAAAGAAATCCTCTTTTTAGTGGAGGTAAGGGTGTTAGCATATAATGTTTTACCCATAGCACTAGCCAAGTGACTAAGTCCTTCCTCACTCCAAAATTGGAGAGGTATATTATGTAGCTCGAACCATACATGGAGAACAAGAGGTCCTCCTTAGCCATCATGAAACTAGGATGCCATTTCTTTAGGATCAAAGGTCTTCTAGAGAAAAGACATGAACCAGCTTCTATCACCCTAACTCTTGCCTCCTCATCCATGAATTTGAAGAAGAAGAACTCACTGTCATAGCGTAGATCTCTAACAAACCCAACTTATCCCACATCTTTTCAGCCAAGAAACTCACAGTAGAAAATGAAAGTCTTTTCTCAATGAAATAGTCCTCCAAGCAGGTTTGTCAATCCCTGTTACCTTGAGTAGCTACTTTCTTGGGGGAGGGGCTGCAAAATAATCCTAGATTCATGCCTGATAGATTCAACAAATACGAGCTTTAGTTCTTTCGCTGGGTTAGAAGAGTTGCCAGCCCTTCCTAAACTCAAAACTTGGTTCCAAGGTGTACGATAGGTATGGGGTTGTCTTCCACCTTCAGTCCCACCGCTCGCCTCTGCTCGTACCATTGCTAGAATCATTAAGGGAGGTTTTCCCCTTAGCGAGGTTGGGCTTGGAAACCCTTTGCTATGGTTGTTGTTGTAATTGGTTCCTTCTGTGAAGAAATTTCACCATTTGAGGTAGCTTCCTTCATTTTGCAATTGTCGGCAGTGACTTTGCCTCCCAAATTTGGTTCATATCCATTAATGCAAGGAGCATTAATGCTGTCACCCATGAGTAGTTGGGGAAATAAATAAAAAGGAATAGTTTGTAAAAAGAAATGGAGAGGAGAAAAGGAGAAAATAGGTACAGATTGAAGACGAAATCTTGACTAAAATGTGGGGGTTAGGGTATAAAAATAGAGCAATCGAAACAGAGCAAAGAGAAAGATCAATGTGAACAGAAGGTTGAATAGTTGGTGAAGTGGGTTCGATGAGAGGTGAGATGTGGTAGAATGGGTTGGCGGTGAGCAAGAAACTTAGGGCATCAAGGGGATTGGGAACGAAGATGTGACATAGCTCTAAGTGTAATATTTTAAGAATGTTAGTCGGCCTTGCATGACAAGAAATAAATTTGGAACCTTGACAGTCACTTTAGCAATCACATGTCAAGGGATGAAAAAGTATTCCTCAATGTTGATACCATGAGGTAAGAATGGAGAAAAATAGGAACTTTCCTATTAAATTTTACTTTGAAGCCTTGTCACTACGATGTGAAGTACTGGAGGATTCATGGCTATGGCACCAAAGATTTTGCCACCTGAATTTCATGGGCTAAAGATGCTTGAATAGAAAAATATGGTAAATGGATTATGAGAGATTAAAACAAGGATGGACCCTTGTAAGGAAGATCAAGTCTCATTTCATGAGCAACACCAAGTCTCATTTCCTAAAGGAAGATCATGGAGAACACAAGCACCATTAGAGCTTGGTTATGCAGACATTTGTGACAAAATGACGACTCCTTTAAGTCAAATCATATACTTTCTTATCTTTATTGATGATTATGCACGACTTGGATATATTTCTAAAAGAAGAAAGCTATGAATTTTCTAGGTTTCAAGAGATTCAAATCCTTTGTTGAAATGCAAAGTGGTCATGCCAACAGTTGGATATAGCCCACAATAGAATGGAATCGCTGAGAGATAATCAAACCACTGTGCAAATGGCAGGGTTAATGATGAATGAGAAAGGACTACCAAAAAATTTATGGGTAGAAGCTTTCAACACTACTGTCTACATCTTGAATCGATGTCCTCCTAATGTAGTAAAGAACAAGACCCCAGTTGAAGCATGGAATATGATCAAGCCATCGGTAAAGCATTTCAAAAATTTATATGCTATGCTATGCTCATATTCCTTCTGAAAAATGATCAAACTTTGATGAGAAAAGTGAGAAATGCATATTTTTGGGCATATAGGTCGGAGACTAAGGGTTTTCAACTATATAATTTTGAGACTAAGAAGCTAATAAAATGCAAAGATATTGGTTTGGATGAAAAAGATGCCTGAGATTGGAAAGGAAAAAAGTGTGGGAAATTCTATACTTCATTGTTCAAGGGCAACAAAAGTTTCTAAGTGCAAGAGAAGAAGAGTTCCATCTGACTCCTACATCACCTTCAAGCTCAAGTTCCAGTGAAGATGCTTCTTTAGAGAATCTCTCTTCTCCAGAATCTCCTCCAAGAAAAAACAAGAACATTGAGGGAAATATATCAATCCTACAGTTTTTCAATGATTGAACCTAAAAGTTGAGAAGAAATAGTAAAGCAAGAGGTTTGGGTAAAGGCAATGTAAGAGGGGATTAATATGATTGAGAAAAGCAGCACTTTGGAGGTTGACTTGCCAAAAGGAAGAGAAATTGTTGGAGTAAAATGGATACACAAAACAAAGCTCAATCAAGATGGAAGTGTGCAGAAGCACAAGGCAAGACTTGTAGCAAAAGAATTCACACAAAAACTAGGTAAAGACTTCTTTAAGACATTTTATCTAGTTTCAAGACTCGAAACAATAAAAACTTTGATTTCTCTTGCTGCTCACAAGCAGTGGAAAAATTTTCAGCTTGATGTTAAATCTGCCTTCTAAAATGGAAGGCTTGAAGAGGAGATATATGTTGACCATCCTAAAGGCTTTTGAAAGGGAGAGGAAAAAAATTTTATAAGCTAAGGAAGGCCCTCTATGGGCTGAAATAAACACCCCATACCTACTATAGTGAACTTGACACCTACTTCACCAAGAAAAGGTTTTCAAATGAGAAAAAGTGAGCCTATTTTGTACCATGAGAAGAGATGCCCGTATTCCGTGTCTATGCAGATGACTTGATTTTTAGGCATTGACCACAACATGATGCAAGAACTCACAAGAGAGGTGAAGCAAGCTTATGAACTTAGTGACTTGGGAAAGTTACACTATTTCTTGGGGATCGAAGTATCTCAAGTGGAAGGAAGCACTTTCATTTTTCAAAAGAAGCACACAACGAATATTCTTCATAGGTTTAACATGGAGAATTGCAAGAGTGTTGGTACTCCTTTAGTTGTGAATGAGAAGTTGAAAAATGAAGATGATGCTATAAGTTGATACTTTGACACCTAGAGGTCTTATGGGTAGTATACTATACCTCACTGCTACAACACCTGGCATTATGTTTGTTGCAAGTTTACTTTCTAGATTTATGCAGGAGTCAAGTCAAATTCATTCGGGAGTTGCTGAAAGAGTTTTGAGATACTTGCAAGGCACACTTGACTATGGGATTATGTACAAGTTAGTTATGATCTATTCTGACAGTGATTGGGCTGGCAACTAGGATGACATGAACAGCACATCAGGGTATGTTTTATATCTTAGTTCAGGCATATGTCTTGGGGGTCGAAGAAACAAAATGTTATAGCACAATCTTCAACAGAAGCAAAGTATACGACATCAACCAAGGCTACTTCACAAGCCATGCAGCTTCAACGAATCTTAGACAACATGGGTGAAATCCAAGGGCAAGGAACAATTTTATATTGTGACAACAAATCAGCAATTGCCATGGAAAAGAATCCAATAAGTAAGGATCAAGCAAAGCATATTGCAATAAAGTATCACTTCACCAGAGAAGAAGTAGAAAAAGGAGAGAAACAACTCATGCACTACAATTTTGACCAAGGCACTTCCTAGAGATATATTTTTCTATCTCGAAGAATCGAGGGGAATTACCAAAATCAAGTTTAAGGGGAGTGCTAGAAATTAAACTTGATTTAGATGGGAAGGACTTTTAGTACATTTTAGAAAGGTAATTGTACTTGAAGTCTCAAAAGTATGAGGTTTGTCTTATTTTGGTCCCCAATATTTTAATTGCATCATTTTAGTCCTTAAAATATTGAATATGTTTCTATATGGTCCCTCAAGTAGATAGCGTCCAGATTTTTAACGATTTTTTATCGTAAACTTGTCACGTGATACTTGAATATGAACAAAAAAATAATTTGAATAATTCTTAACCAAATTTCTACTAAATTTTTTGTTAAATAGCTACTTAAATTACATAGTTTTGATCGTGAACTATCCAAATTTTAGTCAAAAATTATCCATATTACACATTTTTTTTGTCAAGAGCTACTCAAATTTTATTTAAGAGCTATCAACATTATTTTTGGTCCATATTTTAGGTGACAAGTTTATGATAAAAAATCGTTAGTAATCTGGACATTGCCTGTTTAGAAACCATATAAAAATATATTCGATATTTCAAAAATCAAAATGATGTAATTAAAACATTAAGAATCAAAATAAGATAAATTTCATACTTTAGAGACCTCTAGTACAATTTAACTTTTTTAGAAAATACTAGACAAATTGAAATTAAAAGTCATACATGTATGTTAGGGTTCATGTATCCGGATATTCATGTGCATTTTGAATAGTCATCTTGAAAATGTGAAGTCATTAAATTCTGGGAAATGAACTTAGATAGGTACATGATTCTAGTATCCTATAAATACCCATGTACTCTTTGTCATTTTTTTCCCGTCGATAAATCTCATAAATGCTCCCTAAAGTATAAACTTTGTTTTAATTTGCCCCCTAAACTTTCAATTATTCAAAATTTTCTCTTGAAGAATATAACATATTTCAATCAACCTTTTTGTTTAGGGGTTTTTAACATCCCATA